TCCCAATTCACCATTAGCCTGTTTCTTCCTTTAGCCTCAAGGCATTCTCCGCTTTTTGAAAAGATGTTAAGAAATTCAGTCACAATAGAGAGCCTAGTTTTGAACATGTTTCACTCGGTCCATTGAGGTCTGGTCTTCAGCCTTTGTGTGGGGTGAATTGAGCTGAGCAGCAAGCTGGTTGGGGAGAGGTGAATGAGCAGTCTCTGTGCAGTCACCAATTCTGGCAAAGAAAAGATTACCCTTTTCCTTTTATTTTACAATATGCATTCCTGTACAACCCTGCTAGTGGCAATGCGCGGAGCCGAGCTTGTGCTTAGGTCAATATGGAGCCACTTGGTTTATAGCGACTCTTGTTAAGTTTGTCTTGTAATTGAAGCTGCTGTTGACCTTGCTTGGAGACCATTTGTAAAACCGTTTATTTAGCATAAACTGAAATAATAAACCCTCCTTCTCTTAGGCCGATTGTGATAGGGTGACATTAGTTTGATTTAATGATTAGCCGCCTGACCCCTCAGCTAGAGAGAGCTGCTTGAATAGGGAGAGTTCACTAGGAAGCACACAGGAAGAATACTAATGAGCTTGTTAAATTTAGCATGGCACCAACCACTTTTAATTCCTCTAATGGGAGAAGCACTGCTTCTGAGAGAGGGGGAGGGAGATGGGAAGGGGAGTGTGTGTTGGGGTGGGGGGGAGGAATAGCAGAGAGAGGAAAAGAGAGGGAGGAATGCCCGTGTCCCGATAGCCACAGAATTTTGGTCAAGAGAAGAGCTTGGAGGGAGCATCAGCCAGGGGCTCTTGGACTGAGTTGTAAGTACCTTCTCTCTTCTCTTACCCAGCCCAAGAGCGTCAGCAGATGGCTCCTGGGACACTAAACCCCCCCCTCCCAAAAGTTGCCCGCCGAAATGCGGCAATGGAACTTCATACAGAAAGAGCTTGCACCGGGCTGGGGGGGATCTTGTTGAAGCAGGGGTCTCTGAAACGCCTGAAGACTGATTTTTAGTGCAGCATACTGATAGACTTCAACTTTTCTTTTAGTTGCTGACTTCTAAGAGGTTTAAAATAAAAGAAAAAAATAAAAATTCTCGGTCTATAATGAAAAAAGCCAAAAAAAAGTTCAACAGGGAAAGAAAGTTTAATGGATTTTTGTATTGGGTTTTGGTTTGTCCTGGTTTTTTTTCATTTTCTGGGTAAATTAGCTGAGCGATTAAAAGTGTGTTTATTCAGGCATGCTGTCCAGTGTGAGGTGGTTTGTTTTGGTTTTTTTTTTTTGAAAAAGCTTGTTGATTAAATGAGGTGTTTCCTGGTGCTCAGCACTACTAATATAAAGTAATTCTGATGAGAATAGCAGGACTAAAGCGGGTATTTCTCGGTGGATGGGAGAATCTTGGATTAATGTGATCGTTCCAGGCTGGGCACTCGTAACACGTGTCTGTGGCTGCTGGTTTGTTAAGACAGAGCAGGGTACACATGAAGAGAAGCTTATGCAGATTCCTCTTAGAGCCCGATTACTTTTTTTTTCTTTTTTTCTTTTCTTATTTAATCCCTCTCTTACACCCGCAAAAGGTGGGATGAGCTAGACTGGAGTCAGTGGGATTCCACCAGCAGGGAAAACAGATGGAGAACGAGGGAGGATCAGTCCCTTGTAACTTTGGCATTCATCTCTCTGCAAGACTTTTTAGTGAATCGGATGCTTCTTTTGACCCTAGAGCTGGCCACTTCTAAAACGTGAGCAGAGCAGTGACAATTGTCGTGTATTTGGCTGTAAAACCCCTTTGGCAGATGCTGCCAGAGAAGTGGGCTGTTTGCTTACATTTTTGCTATAGAGTCCCACTTGTTGCCATGGTGGGCAGCACGTTTCTGTCAATAATTTGGCCTGGCGTGGCTTGCCTGCACTTGGTCTTAAAACTTTATTGAAAGATTTAGCTCCAACAGCATGAGATTAGATGGGTTTTTTTGCCTTTTTGGTGCCCTGGTGTCGGGAGAGATGCTGCAAGAGGAGTCTCCCTGCTCGGTGTACCAGGATGCTCCTGCAATCTGGGCTCTCCTCTTCTCCTCCTGCAGCGTGGGGGCTGTCAAGTTTCTCATCTGCCCTCCTATCCAAAGCAGCTCGGTGGCACCCAGCTGAAGGAAAGGCTCAGGGGAATGCTTGGACGTTGAATGCGCCTTATTGCAAACATGCCATCACGTTTACTTAAAATAAAAAATAATAAATATTCCTCTGGTGGAGTTTTCACATGGCAGGCAACGTACAGAAACATTTGACTTCTAACAACACACGGCAGTAATTTCATAACGGGGAAAGAAATGGTTGATGCAGAAGGCAAAATACTGGTGGGGGTTTTTTTTGTTTTCTTTCTGTTTTTTAAGGAACCAAAGGAAAGCTTATTAAAACAAAACACATTTTCCCCTTTGGTTTCAAAGTTCCTGAAAGTTGGTTTTGAATTTCATTCAGCAATTTGGAAAATCAGCTTGCTCCACAGAAAGTCACTTTTACCTTGATTCATGACACATGCGTGTTTTGAGAAGGAAGGAATAAAAGCGGAGCCTGCAGACAGACGGCAGCTTCTTGTTGGATCCCAGGATGGCAATTTTAACAAATATTATCTTTATATGGAAGAGTAAAAGAACTGAAATCCTATCTGATCCTCGGATTGATTATACAGCCCCACAAATCACTCCAGCTTGCTGCTTTCTGTACCGTGGGTAGCACAGGTTAGCTTGCTCTGCTTAAGGGTCTGTCAGGATTTCAAATGGGGTGTAATCTCCTATTTTTACAAGAGTTTACATCTCATCAGTGAAAGTTCACTCTAGGTTGAAATTTTAACATAAAAGGCTCCAGCCAGAGAGAAACGTGATGGAAAATATGACTTTGAGGTGATTTTTTTTATTATTATTATTTTAGTTATACAAGCAGCTTTCTAAAAACCTCATATAAGTTTTAAAGTTTTAGGCTGCCTTTTGCAGTTCTCTAACCAAAACCAGCTTCGGTGTAAAAAGTTGAAACCTTAAACCCTGCTAATTCAGAGCAGCGACCGGTGCCTGTGCATATTAATAAAAAGCAGAAAAGGGCAAAGGGTTTCAACTCTGCGGTGTTGTTGTCCCTTTCCATTAACTCTTTCTCCTCGGAGCCAACCCTGGAAATGCTCTGTATGGAGAAATTACTGCTGGCTGTATAAAGAATCCAGTCCCTGGAAGATGCTGATAAGTCAGCAGACCCCAGTTGCTGTAATACTTGGAGATAGAAAAATAATTAAGTGCTCAATAGGCTACGCTGCTGGGTTTTCCTGTTGTTGCTCCTTGGGAGGAGAGGGGGCAGGGAGAAACCCAGCCAGCACCAGGTTCCGAGCGAGGGTGTAGGTAGTTTATGCATATAATGGCCAAAATTCAGCTGCAGGGATCTATACGGATGGAACCTGTTTCTCATCTAATTCATATGAAGGTAAATAGGTGGAGTTATGCTGGTGTCAGGCTTGGGGAGAGTAGGCCCCTGGTGCTTTTGCTGTGCGAATGGGTACACCAGGGTAGACCTGACCTCCAATCTCTCACAACTGAAGCGCAGCCTTGGCACTGTGGTCTGTAGAGTAAGTGTACCTTAGTTTTATTTCCTAGAGGTGTTTTAATTTCCTTTCTAGTTACCTTTGGGGTTTTTTTGTGTGTGTGTGCCCTGTGTTTAATAATCTGGAGTTCCTCATGTACTTCTAGAACTGCTGAGCAGCTTCGAGAAGCTCAGAATATCTATTAGTACTTCTTCAAGATGTGTGGGTGTACACCCACGTGTGCAGCATGGTTGATTTCTAACCAGGCTGTACCTGGAGCACAGGTATCAGCCAAGGATTCCAACCAGCAATTTAACTTATTCAGAGAAACATCTCTATATTTTAAAGCAATAATGCAACTTAAGGAGGGCGTTTACACTAGAGACTTGTGTAACTTAACAAAACCCTTCTGCCACGTGGCACGTGAGAAATGTACCCAAGGACATGCATCTAGCTGTTGAGGAACAGAACCATTTGGTTTGGCTTTTGAAGGGTGCACGTGGTCCCTGGAGGTTAAAACTCAGGTGGGAGCAGGGGTTTGGTTCACCACCTGGTCCTGGGGCTGCCTGCAAAGGGAGCCTGGTGATAGAGGCATTGTCAGGAGACCCTTTTCTCCACACAAGTGGTACCAACAGCCCTGGAGGCTTACTCCATTAAGAATTTGTGGGGAAAATTAAGAATTTTTCATTAAGAATTTGTGGGGATACAGGAAAAAAGAGAGGGAGGGGGAGCATGTTCCACACGCATCCGTGTGGTAACACTCCTGGAGCGGGTGGCCTCGCTTGTGCCTGCCTGATGCTGCTGGTGCTGCATTTTGGGCCATTTTTACCTGTTTTATTGCTTGCCCACCTTCCTTCTGATGGCTAACCACCTTCCTGCAAGGCTACAGCCTCTCCCAGGAGCAAACCTCCGGGGACTGGAGCTGGGCTGTGGAACAGCGGTGGGTGGCTGGCTTTGATTTAGGTCCAACCAGCAAGGTTCATCTTCTCCTCTCGGTGACAAATTGTTGTGGGTTTGTGTGTTTTTTTGGGTTGGCTTTTTTTTTTGCCTCCCTGTCAGGCAGCCCAATCTCCTTGTCCCAGAGGCAAGAACACAGCAAGCCCTGTGTTTCCTCTGGCAGGATTGATGGCCCTGACGGTGGGAGCATCGGAGCATGGGTGACGATGATCTACTGCTTGGCAGCCTCCTGCTCTCTCAGCCCCAGAGCATCCCTCTCAGCCCCAGAGCATCCCTCTCAGCCCCAGAGCATCCCTCACAGCCCCACGTGCACCTACTGTCACAAACTTACACCGTGAGGAGGGGTTAGCGAGGAGGATGAAGGCGAGGGTAGGGGGAGAACTTTATTGCTTTTGCTATAAATGGGCTAAAAGTGTGTGTCTCTCTTTTTTTTTTTTCCTCCTTCCCTTCTCTCTCTTTCTTCTCCCTCCTGGTTTTTTTTTTTTTTTTTTTTTTTTTTTTTTGCAGAGGATGAAAGTCCTGGGCAGACCTATCACAGAGAGAGAAGGAACGCCATCACAATGCAGCCGCAGGGTGGGCAAGGCCTCGGCAAGATCAGTGAAGAGCCTTCCACGTCGAGCGAGGAAAGGGCCTCATTAATCAAGAAGGAGATCCATGGATCTATATCGCACCTTCCCGAACCTTCCGTACCGTACCGCGGGACGCTCTTTACCATGGACCCCCGAAACGGTTACATGGACCCCCATTACCGTGAGTACCTATTGCTGGTTCCTTGGAAAGCTGTCCAATTAAAGTCATTTTATTTGTCACCTTGCATGGCCCTCAGGGAGAACTGCTTTGTGTAGAGTTTGGGGGGGGTTGAGGGAAATCCAATCTTGTTTTGAAGTTAAAATCCAGGGTGCGGTTCCATTGAGCCTCGAAATTAGGCCTCCGCAAAGCAACTTCCACAGGACATCTCATCTGTTGCTAATCCTCCTTAGCCATCCAGGGTTGCTTTTGCTCCACCTCCTTAATACATGAAGAGGGGAAAAAAAAAAAAAAGCCTCATTAAATAAAGCACAGAAGGAAAATGAAACAGGCCTTAAAACCTCTCTTTTAAAACAATGTTCAAGTAAGGTATTAAGAGGAGGAAGGACCATGCCTTGTACAATGGGAATTTGGAGAAGAGGGGGGTTGAAAAGTTAAATGCTGTGGTTTGGGGAGGGTTTGTTTTGGAATTTTTTTTTGTAGGGATTCACGTGTGTGTGTGTGTGAGTACATGGGCTGATGGAGTGGTTTTGCAATTTTCTTCCCCAGCTCCAGTTCCCTGAAGTTGGGATAAGGGGGGGTGTGGGGAGGGAAGGGGGGAAGGCAAATGGTTTCAACTTCTGAATTCCTGCTCAGGCATTAATAAAAAAGTAAGAAATTAACTGACACTTGAACACAGATGTGGAATGGATTTCTCCACAGGCAAAATATGAGGGAGTTAAGCAACTTTTTTTTCATCTGCTTCTAGTTTACAAAAAAAGAAAGAGGGGGGGAAAAAAAAATCATTTAGTTGTGTAGTAATGAAGTACATCTTGAGGTGTCAAGGCTTGTGCCTTTTGATTATAGATTTATCACCCAGTCAGGATACAGATTTGCCATTTAACCTTCCAGTCTCCAGTTCCAGATGATAGGCTTAAGACCCACAAAGAGGGGCCAGTCTGCATTGGGGTTGTGGTGTTTTTTTTTTTCTCCACATCATTCAAAAAATTTTAGTGTTTTAAGGCAAAAGGTCATTAGCCAGACGACTGATTAGTGAGGACAGCTGATTAGTGCATGTTTTTTTGCTAAAGAAAGTGCCAGGGATAAAAGCTAATTTTATCCCTTCATTAGTTGGGCTAGCAGCAAAGGGGAATGTTCACTCATCAGGGTGCAGATCAAAGTATGTCTCGCACAACCTTAAGTCTCACCAACCTTCTTTTTTTTTTAAAAAAAAAAAAGGAGCCTGATTGTTAATAAGGATGGAGGTATTATCAGAAAACGAACACTTGTTGTCCTTACAGTTCAGATCACTGTTTAGGGGAAAAGTTTTGCAGCTAAGCTTTTTGAGCTCTCTTCCAGTGGAGGCAGTCGGTTTCTGTACACCCTCCTCCTCCTCCTCTTCCTCCTCCTCTCTTGAAATGGCCCAGCTCCAACCCTCTTGGGGGAGTTACTCCTCTTTCTGCTGAGGAGGATGTGCTGCAGCACAGCAGCTCTGCCAGAGAGGTGGGAATGGGGAGAGCAAACCACCCCTCACCACTGGCTGTGGTGAGTTGGAGGCACCAGTTGTAGCTTAAGGTTTGTTAAGGCAACCCTCAAATCTCACTTAAAATAATAAAAAAATTAAAATCTTAATGGGGAAGCAAAATAGCTTCCCAGCTGTACCACCTACAAACAGAGGAGAGATGAAAGGTGTGACAAAAACTCCCCCCAAAACAAGCACCAAAGCTTTCGCTGAATTTAAAACCCACCCCAAAAACAAGCACCAAAGCTTTCGCTGAATTTAATGGTGATGACTGCCACCTCGACCATCTGACCAGCTGCCAGCTCACCCCTAAAATCTAGTTCAAAGTGTTACTGCTACTACTGAAGATTGAGAGTGAAGACAAAGGGCAGGCTGGTTGGAATGAGTCCGAGTGGCTTGCATTTAGTTTATTGGGTTTTATCGTCTTGAATTTGCCTTTGGACAAGAGTTCTCAAGATTTAATGAAGCCACCGTGTCTGAATTACGACCAGTAACACTAGCTAGTTAGGATGTTTGGGCTGTTGGAAAAACATTGATGTCAGAAGTGGAGAGAACAGCAGAAAGTTATCCAGCTGCTAACGGCAGAGAAACAGGAGATGAGTTAATTTGAAATGAGCAACATGATCGTAAAGCAGAAGACAAAGTCAGGAAACATCAGACGGGCAGACCTGCCTCAGCGCTGCTGCAGTGAGTTGTACATGTGTACTCCACTGATTTATAAAATCCCTCAAGCTATTAATGTCATATAAAGAGCCATCGTGCTTTTATTTACCTTTAATAGATGTCATAGAGGAGGACAACTAAAGAGACAAATGTCTAGTTAGATTTATAGGGAAGCCGACAGGCTTACTGAAATTTTCATAGTAGTTGTATCATTTATATATGTAAGACGTGCTTTCATCCCAGTGGTGACTGTATTCAGGCTGACACTTATAGTGGTCCATATGAAGAAGGCTGAATAATGTAAACATTCCCCAGTCCCACTGTAGCAACAGGTGAAGAGCCAGCAAGGCTTCCGTTCCCTCCCTTAGTTTCTTGTCAGTTTTGCTGGGCATATGGATAGAAAATACTGTTTTAATTCAACAGAGTGGGGTATGTAAACACTCACAGTAATTCCTTAGTTTCCCTGTGGTTGGAAAATACAGACTTTTCAAGATGCCTAATTTGTGCTTCTATTTATACCCACTTTGTATTTAAAAGTGTGGGCAGGCTTCCTGTAACACCGGAAAAGGGAAAATAATTTTTTTTTTGAAGGAGGACATCTGTGTATCCTTACGGCAAGAAAAGCAAAAGAGCATATAAGTCACTTGTATGTGGAAGGCATGTCCCCTCCAGGAGCTGCAGTTATCAGAAAACTCAAATCCTTTGCATTTCAGCATGTAAATCTGTGTCTCTGTGTATGTGCGTTGCAGGATTTTTGTTGTTACAATTATTTTTTTTTTTCCTAATTAAAATGACTGATGTCGTAAATGTTGGGAATAATAGTTACCATATATGTGGAATAAATACCTCATTGAGGGGAAGTTCGCTCTCCTGCGGAGTGTGGGTGGGGATAATGGTTGTGTTTCAAGTGGACCAGCTTTTCAAACAGCTGGGATGAAACATGCTATGGAGCTAGTGGCCCTTCTGTGCTGCCAGAGAGCCCCTCAACCATTTAGCATCCGAAAATGAGAGTGTGGCCTCGTGCTCAGCCACAGTCCTCCAAGAGATAAAAGGCAAAACACACAGGCCTAAACCAGAATTGTTTTGTTTTCTGTCTTTTTTTGTTACAGATTTCTTAAGCACCATTTCACGAAATCTGGGGGTTTTGCTTTTGTTTGTTGTGGTGTTTTTTAACTTTTAAAAACTTTTTTTCTTTTATAAAAAGCTTTAGGGCAGATGACAAAAAATGCTGGAACTCCCTATCGTATGTTGCACCTTTTCTTTATTGAGGAGAGGAGGGTTAGTGAGCTGAATTGCAGTGTTTCTTAAATGGATTTAAAACCCTGTGTTTCTCAAACACTGATTGCGGTTGTACTTGGAGCCCCCTGTTAATGTAAATTCTGTCTGAAGAGGTGGGGCTGAGGCAGGGGAGGTGGGGAGAGTAACTTCCCTTTGTTATTCTCTTCCCCAATTTTAATTCCCACGCAGATTTATGGCAGTGCTAAGACTGTCTCTCTCACAAGTCATTCCTCATGGAAAAAATGAATCATTCCTGATGTAAACACTTTGATTTAAAACATACTGCTGGTATTCTTCCCTGGGTTTCACAGCTCATCTGAAAGAATTGTTAGTTCCTAATTAGTAAAGCCCAAAGAATTATCTTAAGTAAAAAGCCGTGACAGTTCAGTTGGCTCTGATCTAAAAATGTGTATATACAGGAATGGCCCTGGCAGGGTTCCTCCTGGTACATCCCTTCATCTCAAAGAGGGTGCCCTGGATGTAGCTGAAAGCAGAAACTCACTTTTTCTTTTTTTTTTTTTTTTTTCCTCTCATTTCCCTTAGTGGGGATTTATTCTGCTGGTTTTGAAGCTTCTGTATCGGGGGAAGTGGGAGCTGCTTATTGCACATTTCATAGGATTAACCCTCCAAAGGTATCGATTGCCCTCCGTTCCCACTGACTGTGCCTGGACTCGTGCTTTGTAAGGATCAGACCCCTCCTAACTGTCCGGCTTAGATCACCCAGCGTTAGTGTCATCTCAAAAATCAATTTGTGATGTGAACAAAAGGCCACAGCAAAGGAAAATACAGCGCTGGTTTGCTGGGTGCACTCGTTCATTTACTGTGTTTTAATTTCTATTGACAAGAATTCCCTTCATCTCCCCATGGAAGAGGAAAAAGGAGGAGAGGGGGGAAAAAAAAAAGGGAAATTCGATTCTGTTTCTGCAAATGCAAACTGGTAGCTGGAAACACTGCCATGAAAAGCCATTGTTTTCTAATTATTGCATTTTAAGGCAATGTGGCTTAAACCATGATGGCCAATTGGACAGTGTGAACAGTCCAGGTCGCCATCAGTAGACCTTGTAGAAGGAGATCTCCGTTTGCTTTGTAGAAGGGGGAGCTGGTGGCATCTCTTGTCCTCTCCGTGGCACATTTTGAGACTCTGGAGGGACAACCAAGATGCTTTTGGGTAGTCTCCAAGCAGGCATTTTGAGCTCACCTCTAGCCTTCCCAGTGTCACGGGGTGGCAGGAGCTGGGACAGCTTTTTGTGGAGTTTCTCTTGGCCTTGTTGGAGAGCAGTAGGAGACTGTCGGTGAGGAATCCTTGTAGAGATTTAGGGCTGGGGTCTTTAAAGACATTTAGGGGCTTTTCAATTTCAAAGTGAGTTTAGCCTCTTAAATACCTCTGAAAATCTGGGTCCTACTTCCTCAGCTCTTTCTGCCGCTTTTTGCCGGGGAGGGGCTTAAGTGCTCTAGTAACAAAACTCTCCACTGACAGTGATTTATGGGGTGGTTTCCAAATGTTGTCAAGGAGGGGTATTTGAAAAAAGTAAATTCTAAAGCTTTTAGTAAAACTCACAGG